GAGGCCCCATGTCTGGGGTCTGGGGCACGTTGGGAAGATTTGGGACCTGTCAGAAAGGATCGCAGGCCAGTTTGAGGGGGTCTGGGATGTGCTGGGGGATCTGGAGCTGTTAGAGGGGGTCTGGGCCTGTTTGGGGAGGTCTGTCTGGTGGGGTGTGGGGTGTGTTTGAGGCCCACTGGGGGCCGTTTGGGGTCATTTTGGGGAGGTTGGGGCTTATTGGAAGGAGTTTGGGACGTTGTGCGGGGCCTGGGGCATGTTGGGGGGCTCTGGGGACTGCTGGTCATGTGGGAGCTCATCTGGGGGCACCTGGGGGTAAGGGTGGGGAAGAGGGGATCCGACTGCTCTGGGGAGAAGGACCCCTTTTTGCCGAGGGTTTTTTGTGGCACGTGACGTTTGAAAGCAGCATCTCTGTCACCCTTCTCACGTAGGAAAAAGCTGAAAAGCACCTCCATGTATATTTACCAGACTCTGTTTCTGAACGGAGAAAACAGCGACATCAAAATCTGCGCTCTGGGAGAGGAGTGGAACTTACACAAAGTGTACCTGCGGCAGGTGGGTGCTGCGTGGCGCCAGCAGGAGCTGCGCTGCCCGTCTCAACACCTCAGATCTTCTCCTTTCGCCTCCCGTTTCCCACCCATGGGTGCCAGAGCAGAACCGACGCGGAGCTCAGGGCCGCGGTGCCACACAAACCCTTTATTTTTCTGATCTCTCAGGTAGACGTCAGTGGGTGATGCATCTCCCTGTGTGCACATCCACTGCTGGGGAGGAAAGTCGTGGCTCCTAGCAGAGCAGCGCATTTCGCTCCGCTTGGACGGAAACCTTTCACCCTCTAGTTTAAAATACCTTGCCCTGAAGGTATATTTCCATCGGTGCTGTCTGTGTACGTGTCCTTGGTGCGAGGCTGCCACCTTGTACATCAATTTCTATGTCTTGCATGCTGGTTTTTTCCCTCTGATACCCAAAGCGGGTTCCCTGATGCCCACAGGATTTGTGGCCCGCTGGTGTCGTTAAGGATGCAGCTCCTGGACTCATTGTACCCCAACGCTGGTGGGGTTGGGAGGAAAGCAGCTGGCGCGGCTCTTCTGGCCCTGCTGGGCTCTTGTGTTTGGTTGCAGAGGCGCAGTTCAGATTCTCTGGGTGCATTTTCAGACACAAACTGAGCACACGTAGGCCTTTCTCAGCGCACCAGGGTGCCTTGCACGCTGCCTGTTCTCTGTGTGAAGGGCAACGCTGACAACCTTCAGCTCCACGCACAGCTGCCCGTGCTTCTCATTCGAGTGCCGTTTCCAACTCGACCTCCTTCTCTCTCCTCTGCCCTCCTGCAGTCAGGATACTTCTCCAGCATGTTTAGCGGTTCCTGGAAGGAATCCTGCATGGACACCATCGAGCTGGAGATCCCCGACCAGAACATTGACATAGAGGGTGAGTGGAGCCCGCAGCGCTGCCGCGGAGAGTCCTGCCAGCTCCTCTCAGCTCCTGCCAGCTGGGCGCTGAGCGCTGTGCTGCTCTTCCCCTCCCAGCCCTGCAGGTGGCGTTCGGCTCGCTGTACCGAGATGACGTGCTGATAAAACCCGGCCGAGTTGTTGCCCTGCTGGCGGCCGCCTGCATGCTGCAGCTGGTGAGTGGGCAGCGGGGCCTTTCCTGCCTTCCTGCAGCGAGGAGAGCGAGGCGCCGTGGCCGTGTTGGAAAACGGCTGAGCTGTGGTGGTGGTGTGGAAGTTGTCAGCTGTGTGTGGAAGCGGTGCTGGAGCAGCTCGGTGTTTGTCTGCCCTGGTGCTGCTGATGGGTTTTGGTGGAGCTCAAGAGCGGCCTGGCTGCTTGCTGCCGGCAGAGCGGAGGTCGCTGTGGCGCCAGCCATCGCTGCGGGGTGACAATGAGCTGTGCTGCATCTCCCCCTTCCTGCTCGGAGCGTGAAACCCAGTGTTTCTGCTTGTTTTTTTTCCCCCCCTTTCCTTTCTGCAGGATGGCCTGATCCTGCAGTGCGGGGAAACGATGAAGGAAACCATCAATGCCAAAACCGTGTGCAGTTATTACAACTCGGCGGGGACGTACGGCTTGGACTCGGTGAAGAAAAGGTGAGGCAGCGTCCTGCAGGATGCTCCCTGCACAGCACGGCAGGATCCCAGTGAGCAGCAGTTCCTCGTCACTTCAAGCTGTCCGCCTCGAGCTCTGTGCCCCTGAACTGCTGACATCCCCAGGGAAAAAGGAAGGCACTGACTGCTTGCTTTTAACCCAGGTGCCTCGAGTGGCTCCTGAACAACCTGATGACTCACCAGAGCGTGGAGCTCTTCAAAGAACTCAGGTATTCGTCCTTCGGTTTGCAGCCACGTTCGGTGCCTTTCTGGTGCTGGCTGTTGATGGATTGTGCGGATTCCCGACTCTTCCTTCTCTCCCTGAACCCCTGTGATCATTACTTTACTCTTTTTCCAGCATCAACCTCATGAAGCAGCTGATCAGCTCTTCTAACCTCTTTGTGATGCAAGTGGAGATGGATCTGTACACTGCCCTCAAGAAGGTACCTGGCACGGGGCGCCGACCTGCTGCTCCCCAGGCGCTGCTGTGTGAAGCAGCAAGTTGGAGCCCCGTGAAATGGGCTGTGAGCACTTGGTGCAGGATGGGGAACTGTGGGGTGTATGGAGACGTGGCTTTAATAACACACCTATGGCTCGTGGGAGAAGCGATCTGCCAGGCTGACTGGGGTCTGTCTGTGTTACCTAGTGGATGTTCCTGCAGCTGGTGCCTTCCTGGAACGGGCCTCTGAAGCAGCTCTTAGCACAAGCTGATGCCTGGTTTGCTGAGCGAAGGAGAGGTAGGGACCAGGGATGGGCCTTGGGCTCCAGGGGGAGGTGGCAGTTTTCATCTCCAGGCTTCCTTGTGTTTTCTGGGGATGGTTGGGTTGGAATGGAGCTCAGAGGACATGGAACCATGGGATGGTTGGGTTGGAATGGAGCTCAGAGGACATGGAACCATGGGATGGTTGGGTTGGAATGGAGCTCAGAGGACATGGAATTGTGGGATGGTTGGGTTGGAAGGAGCTTCTGCTGAAAGGATTTGGAAGTGTGCGTCATCTTTGACACGGAGCCACCGCAGAGCGGTGAACGAAAAGCTGCACCTCACATACAGACAGGGTCTGTAGCAGAATGGTGTGTACAGCTGTGCTGTCATAGAATCAGAGAACCACCAAGGTTGGAAAAGGCCTCAGAGCTCCTCCACTCCAACCGCTCACCCGTCACCAGCAGCTCCCACTGAGCCACGTCCCTCAGCACAGCATCCAGCCTTTCCTTCAACGCCCCAGGCTCGGTGCCTCCCCCACCTCCCTGTGCATCCATTGCAGTGCCTGACCTTTCTGACAGTCGTACAGCCTCATGTCCAGCCTGAATCTCCCCTGCCGCAGCTTGAAGCCATTCTGCTCCTATCACTGATGGCACGAGAGCAGAGGCCGACCCTCAGCTCCCTGCAGCCTCCCTTCAGGCAGCCATAGAGAGCAGTGAGCTCTGCCCTGAGCTCCTCTTCTCCATGCTGAACATTCCCAGCTCCTTCAGCCTCTCCTCATCAGCCCTGTGCTCCAGACCCCTCACAGCTTTGTTGCCCTCCTTTGAACACCTTCCAGGACCTCTTTCTTGCAGTGAGGGGCCCAAAACTGGACACAGCACTCGAGGTGCGGCCTCACCAGTGCTGAGCACAGGGAAACTCTGTCCCACAGAGCTGGAGGGTGATGCTGCATTCCTGGAGCTGGAGCAGGGCGCTGCCTTCCGGCCCGT